ATGCCGACTGAGGTGCGCCGTCTGCCTTTTCACTGGCAGCAGGACATTCCGCATCACCGGATACGGACGCACGCGGTCCAGTGCAGCTGTGCACACCACCAGCAGCTACTGTTGGATGCCGCGTGTTTTTGCCTAGATTTTCACTGCTACAAATAATTCCATTACAAAAATAATGAGCAAAGGTTATGAAAGAAGTCTGAAAAAGAGAAGCACAGATAGGAAGCACATGAGGGATGCTCTACCTCGTTGATAATTCTGCCTGTAGATTAAACAGCAGTGTTACTGAGTGCTGGGGGGACGGGGATGTGGAAGGACCCATGGCTTCCGTGTCTCTCTCCCTGAGTGTGATCTGCTCAATTTCTGGGAGCAGCAATCGCTCTTCCAGGGCATCCACACTTGGAGTGTTAGATATAGCCAAGGCTAGAAGGCAAGGGTTGCACTGCAGTGTGACTCATAACCCCACGCAACACAGACCACAGAACGTCCCACAGTAGGAGAGTGGTTTAAGCCACACGCACTAGCCAGACTAGGTGTGTAAGGAGGGTTTGTAAGAAGACAGGGAAATGTGACGCTCTTAGGAGACCTGGGGCCGGGAGTCTAATGCCCTCGAATCAAAGTCCTGTACTGTGGATCTCTAGCAGTGAGGCGGTGAGGTCAGAGGTGAGGTCTTTATGACCTACAGGGTAATAGCGGCCTGGGCTTCAGCCCCATGTGAACCCCCTATTGTCTACATCCCGGGGTGAAGCCAAGGGCTGTCATAGGCTCTGGGTTATATTGGGGAACACTGAGGCCAAGAATGTACCAGCAAACTTGTCTGGAGGGAGATGTTACCTCATCCCTTGAGCTTGCTTCGGGGTCAGCAGGTGACATGGTGATTGGGGCGCCAGACTCCCACATGGCCAACTGTGGTACGAGTCCTGGACCTGGTGGTTTGCTTTCTCATTTTTTCTCTCTCTCTCTCTTTTTCTCTCTCTGGTGAGTGCACCTGCCCTAGGGCAAACTTGATAATAAAAATAAAATAAATAAGTAAATAATAAAAATTATTTTTTTGTGGGGGAGAGGTTTTTGCTATAGGGTGCATGCACTTGCCAGAAAGACAGAGAGAAACAGAGAGACAGAAAGCAAGAAATCACCCCCCAGGGGGGATGGCCATGCTACAATCCCTTCTCTTCCATTCTCCTCTCGGGACCTTGGGCACGCACAAATGCACGCACACCCAGTGTGAGTTTAAGTCACCGGGTCCGGGTTTCGAATCACAGTTGACTACATGGGAATCCAGTGACATAGCCATTATGCCAACTGCTGGTCTCAATAATAAAATTTATTTAAGAAAAAAAGAAAGCTTGCATCTAGAGAGGGGGTCCTGGGGATTGAGGGTATGAAACATCCTCAGAAGCAGTCTGGTCCATTCCCTTCATTTTGCAGGTGAGGAAACTGAGGCCCAGGATGGGACTTGCCCAAGACCAGGCAGAGAGTAAGCAGGAAGTGAGCACATGACACAGGAATGAGCGCGAGCCCTGCAGCGGTCAGCATCTCCCCTGGGGCTCACACTGTGTGGAGCCCTGTCACTGGCCCCATTTGACAGGTACTACACTTGCTCTTAGCCAAAAGGCCGAGAAGCGATGCCCCATTTGACAGGTGAGGAGACGAGGCACCAAGAGGGCGATTAACTTGTGGAGGTCCCCGGGAAGGGGAGCCCGGACCGGACCTGGGTCAGCTGGCCTCAGAGCCCATACCTCCACTGTCACCACCTCTGGCATGGACTGTGCAGCCAGCCCTGGGGGCTGTTGCCTTGTGCCTGTTTTCTGGACCCCTAAAGGCTAATTCTCCCAGTCACTAACCATAGCGACAAGAAGATCTGGAGAGGGCATGGACACCAGGCCTGGGCAAGGACCGGAGTGAGTACTCAGAACGCGAAGAGGCTTTGGAACTGGAGCAGACTCGCAGAGCTTACAAAATGCTGCGGAGGGTCTCCCGTATCTTCCTCCTGTTGCTCTGTTCCCTCCTCCCCCATGGCTGCTGCAGGCCAGGCCTAGGCCTTCCCTTCCCAGCCAGTCCCTGGGCAGTGCTGGGGCCTCGCCAAGTGACCGAGGATGTCCTCTGCCTGTTGTCCCTACTCCTCACCTCCTCTCCACCTTCAGCCTCTCCTTCCCCATCCTCAGAGAGGGCTGCAGACACGGGCAGGTGGGCACCCTGCTCATTCTCTGGAGGACTTCTCACTTCTGGCTTTGCTGACCTTAGACTACACGTACCAGTCCCAGCTGGCACTGCTTCGAACTTTCCTTGGACATCTGGTTTCCTCCTGCCTATCTGCTGAGTCTCCTTTCTCTTCCCCAGGTCCCTCCCAGGTGTCCTCCTTCTCTTAAGCCACTGGTCTCTTGGTTCTCTAAATTCCAGGGCACCTTGATTCTTCCATGGCTTAGAGACATCAAAGGAAGCTCTAATGAGGCTCTAATGAGGCCAAAGTCAGTCCCCAGCTCACACCTCCACTCTGCGCCTTGCCATCTGCAAGTGCTCAGGTACCTGCCTCAGGCCAGGTGACAGACCAGGTATTCTGCCTGCCTTGGTAGGATCTCCAGTGCCTCTGAGCCTTTGCAGAGGCTGCTCCCTCTGCCCAGAAAACCCTTCCAGCCTGCTGCTCACCTTCTGGCGCCCAGTCCCATGTGCCCTCTTCCAGGACTCCTTATCTAGGCCAGCCAGTGAGCTGGCCTCTTTCAGCAGCTTTCCTGGGCGCTCTACAAACCTCAGCTGTAGTGTGCCCAGGAAGCATTCTGAGGGGAAATGAATTTCTTTTTGTTTCTGATTTTTAAATCTAACATTTATTCTGAAATGGGCGTATAGAACAGCTCAGTGAAATCTCGGTACCCACATTAAGGAAATGGACCCTAGCCAACCCCCAGAAAGCTCTTCATGCTCCAGCCCCCTGAGCTCTGCCCGTCCTGGTCTTTTCCACCAGTGGGATCCCACAGGAAGGGTGCCTCTGGGCTGACTTCAGCTCTGCATGGCGTCTGCGGGGTTGGTCCCTGTAATGTGAGGTGCAGGGTTTATAGGGCTCCAGGTACTACTGCCCACAATGTACTCATTCTGCTTGAAGCTGGGAGGTTCTGAAGCAGGCATGACTCCATCTTGGAGAAGTGCCTCCAAGAGAAGTGGGGACTGAAGCAGGAGCGACCCCACCTCGGAGGAGCCCTCCATTATAAACTGTTAGATTCCTAGGACTGGAAACTTGCCTTCTCTTTCTTTGCCTTAGAGTTAATAGAGTGATTAACATTCCTATTGCCTTTAAAACCCTCCTCCAGGTTGCCTTAAGATAAGGTCCAGGGACCAACAGTTGGCATAATGGCTATGTCACTGGACTCTTATTTTGTCACCCGTGGTTCAAGTCTTGGATCCAGTGGCCTGAACTCTCACTGGTTCAAGTATTGGACCTGGTGGCTTAAACTCACGCCGGGCGCATGTGCGTGTATGCTCAAGTTCCCGAGAGGAGAAAGGAGAAGGGATTGTGGCATGGCCATACTCCCTCGGGGGTGATTTCTCCCTTTCAGTCTCTCTCTGTCTTTCTGATGATAGCAAAAAAAAAAAAAAAAAAAAAATACAACTCTAAAAAAAATAAAAAAGAAAAGAAAAAAAGATAAGGCCAGTCACAGGATCTTGCCCAGAGCCATAAAGACTAGTAAGATTCCATTGTATTTAGGTAAAGATGGAACATACCCTTAGGGATGATTAACCTGCTTTTCTCCCTTCTGTAACGTGCCTTTTGCTTTTACATTGTTAAAACCCTACCCCCTACCCTTTCTCCCCATTTGAGCCTGCCCCTGCCGCACCTAACCCTTAACCTCATGAGTCAGCTGGTCATTCCGGAAATGACTGTGTAAGTGCCCCTCACCTTTCACTCGGGACTGTGGGAGTTTGAGAGACAGGAGGCCCCCAGTATGCCGAAGGCTGAATCAATAAACTCCAATAAATTTGGCTATGTCTAGATGTCCCCTTATTTCTCTCTGAGTAGACTATACAGCTCCAGAAGGCGTTCTGAAAGGCGCTGCCCGGGACGTCCTAGTGCTGTCGCTTGTCTCAGGGCGCACGTGTGCACGCTTCTGCCGGGTATAACGCTGGGAGTGGAGCTGCGGACCGCAAGATCCATGCACTGGGCCGAGTGGTGTTCCTACGGTTTCGTCTGCGGTTCCAACAGACTAACCATCCTCAGCGACCACTGGCCGCCGGCAGCAGAGAATTCCTACACAAAGAAGCGGCTCCTGGGGGCGGCGCCAAGGCTGTGGTCTCTGCGGCCTCCAGACTTTCCAAGTCAAAACGAGTCTCTTTCCTCTGGCCTTCGGGGTCCGCGGCGGCCCATCACATCTGCCTGTGCTGGGACTTCGCCATAGTCTGGGCTCTCGCCAGCCTGGCAGTTCTAGAGGGCAGGACCGGGTCATCCTGCCTCACGCCTGGGTCAGCCGGGGACCTGCAGACCCCTGGGCTATGCGGGTGGGCAAGTCGGGTACGGGGCCTCTGCCTGCAGGGAGCCTAGCGTGGGCTGCCCCCCGATTCCCCTCGCAGGAGCCTCGACACCCGAGGCCGGACTCCGCTGGGCCCCCACAACCCTCGTCCCAGCCCTGGCCCAGGCCCCATCCTTTCCGCCCGGCGGGGCTGAGCTAACCTTTGATCCTGATTCCGCCCCCCCCCCCCCGCCCCGCCCCCGGCCGGGGGGGGGGGGCGGGGTC